AGTAAGTACATTTACTTTGTTTTGCAGGGGTTTGAGTTTGGGGGGGTATGTTTCTATGCTGTGGTTTTTTTGTGTTTTGGTGGTTTTTTCCCCAGCCCCAGCATGTTCCGATGGGGCTTGCTGTGTTGTTTTTGTGTGTGTGTGGGTGGGGGGGTTTCAGCCCCAGCATGTTCCGATGGGGCTTGCTGTGTTGTTGTTTTTTGTGTGGGGGCTTTTTTTTCACCCCCAGCATGTTCTGATGGGGCTTGTTGTGTTGTTTTTGTGTGTGTGTAGTTTTTCCCCCAGTCCCAGCATATCCAATGGGGCTTGCTGTGTTTTGGGGTTTGTTTGTTTGTTTGGTGATTTTTTTTCACCCCCAGCACATTCTGATGGGGCTTGCTCTGTTTTTGGAGGGGGGGGTTGGTGATTTTTTTTCCAGCCCTGACACATTCCGATTGGGCTTGAATTGTGGGTTTTTTTTGGGGGGGGTTGATTATTTTTTCCCCGGCCACGACGTGTTCCGATGGGGCTTGCAGTGTTTTTTGGTAATTTTTCCCCCTATCTGGAACGGATTAATTGTGTTCCAGTGCATTCCTGTGGGAAATGGTGCTTTGACCTATGACTAGTTCGAGTTATGACCATCTTCTGGTACAGGTTAAGTTTGTAAGTTGAGGCACCGCTGTATTTGTTAAATATTGGCTCAGTAGGTATGCGAGTCCTAATATTGCCCTTTTTTGCAGTTCTGATGGTGTGATTTCTGAGATCTGCAACTGCTTATCATACTGTGTGAAATTTCTTGATATTGTTCCCAAAGCCCCAATGACTACGGGGACTGCTGAAGTGTGTTTCATCCACAAGGGAGATGGTTCCACAAGAGAGTTGTGGTTGTTGGTTGTGGTTGCAGCCATTGTTGCCAAAGGCAGAGGCAGATTAGGTAAGGCTGTAAGCTACGTGGACCACTCTGTTGCACCTTCTTGCCTGAGGACTACCAGTGGACAGATATGTATGAAAACACCTTATAATCCTCCTCATGCTTTTTCTCTCCACTTGTATTTAAGGAAGGCCAAGTGTCGCGTCCTCAAGGAACTCCTCTTCAGAAAGTGAGAAGTGTCCTGCGCGTAAAAATGGAGAAAATGCTGATGAAACACAAGGGTACGAAGATAGCTATTTCCTTTCAAGAGAACCAGATCACCCTGAGATCTGTTTTATTGTAATTTGTTTCTATTTCTGCCGTTTGTGGGGCTTTTTATTTCATGGTGGGATGGGGTGTCTTAATGACGGGGAAAGTGGGAGGGAGTTCCAGAGTCTGGGAGCAGCCACAGAGAAGGCCCTCTCCCGAGTTCCCACTGAAAGCATCTGGTGGGACTGAGAGAAAGGTCTCTCCTGATGACTCTTACACCCAGGCAGGCTCATAAACGGAGAAGCGGTCCATGAGATAGCTTGGACCTAAGCTGTTTATGAATTTTTAGATTAGAACCAGCATGTTGAATTGTGCCCAGATCGGCAGCCGGTGAAGCTGCTGTAATGGGGTGTGTGTGTATGTGTGTGTGAGAGATGTGATCCCTGTAACCAGCCCCAGTTAGCAACTGGCTGCTGCCTTTACGTAAAGGTACCCCTTGACATTTAGTCCAGTCATGTCTGACTCTAGGGCGTGGTGCTCATCCCTGTTTCCAAGCCGTAGAGCCAGCATTTGTCCAAAGACAGTTTCCATGGTCACGTGGCCAGCGTGACTAGACACAGAACGCTGTGACCTTCCCACCGAGGTGGTACCTCTTTATCTACTTGCATTTTTACATGCTTTCGAACGGCTAGCTTGGCAGGAGCTGGGACAAAGCGACAGGAGCTCCCTCTGTTGCGTGGATTTGAACGGCTGATCTTTCAATGTTGCAGGCCAGAGGCTTCTGCGGTTTAATCCGCAGCGCCACCGCGTCCCTTTTAGGCCAGAATAATAAAATTCCTCCTGTTTTCCAGCTCTATGAAATCCGTGTTCATAGCTGGAAACTCCCCATGCACTTAAGTTTTTCAAATCCTATAGACCTGGGCATAAAGTCCCAGTGTTTTAGCATTGGAAGCGGGTTCCCAAAGGACCTCTTCTAGTCTAGTCCCTGCCGGTGCAGGGAACCCACAATTAGAGAAGGTCCAAAAGAGATTCTCCCACCCCTCAAACTCTCTTTAGAAACTCACAATGACGGAGAGTCCCCTCTCTTCAGAAGGCCATCTGTTTCACCGTCAAACAATCCTTACTTTCTGTTTTTCTTACTCTTCAGTTGAAAGCTTCCTTCTTGTCATTTCAGTCACAGGATTTGGGTCCCGTGCTCTGCCGAAAACAGACTTGCTCTATCTTGTATGTAAACAAGCTTTCTCCACTGATAATACACTTATCCCTTCCACAACGCTGGGGCAAGAGGCACCAGAGCCCCATGTAGTTAAAAATCCATGCCCCCCCCCCCAAATGTAACTGCAAAGCATAAATAGTTGATTAACACACACACATCCCTTACGGGACCTGCATCAGCCTCCCGGCATGCCACAGCACCCTTCCTGGATGCCACGTGGAGCTACTATGATGAGAGGTGAGGCTGGGTAGGCTGCTACCATCCGGCCAAGGGTTGCTGCGCTGCCAACAAGAGGGCCCCTAGATTCATCAGGTTTTTTGTTCTTTCTGAACAGTTTCTTTTAATACATTAGAGTATTAAAGTTCAACTGTCTTGTTGGTTGTTGTGGGTTTTCCAGGCTGTTTGTTCATGTTCTGGAGGTTGTTCTTCCTAAACGTCTCTCCAGTCTCTGTGGCCGGCATCTTCGGAGGACAGGAGTCGGAACTCTGCCTGCTCTGGTGTAGTGTGTGAGATGCCAGCCGCAGAGACTGGCGAAACATTAGGAAGAAAAACCTCAAGAACACGGCCAGACAGCCCGGAAAACCCACAACAACCATCGGATCCTGGCCGTGAAAGCCTTCGAGAATACATTTAACTGTCTTCATAGCTGCCTCATGAAAGTATTCCCCAGTAAGCACTGCATGTGTATTAGACATTCGTTTTTGTACAGGTACAAAGCTAGGCATCACTGGTGCCGTGTAGCTTCGTGTTCATATCCCCTGGCATGCAAATACAAAACTCCCGTGTCTAATGGGTATGTCTGAGAAATTATAGTCTTCCCTATGCCTAAGAACCGATGTGAAGCTTAGAACTGGGGGGGGGGGGGAGAAATTTTTTTTT